AAGTCTATTATTTTAGATGGCTTCAAGGTGGCTAGTCATATGATGAAAGAGAGGAGCAAGGGTAGAATAGAGAGGGCAGAAAATAAGACCCAGGCCTTACACGTAAGAGTTATAGTGGACAAGGGGAATAGATACTCGGTGTCCAACCCCAACTAACTTCTTACAGGTGAGGGTTGGAAAGGGGAATTAGGTTTATCTCATTAGATGCCTCTGTACTAGGACTAGAGGGTGAAAGAGAAGCAGAAGCAGTCTTCCTGCTGCCTTAACTACTGCAACTGGCATTGTTGAAGAGAGGATTCTTTTTTTTGGGCACTGATATTTGGTATGCCAGTGATTAGTCAACAACTTGATGGGAGTTGAGAGGCAATTGTGGAAGTTGAAGCCAGATCAGTGTTTCTGCAAGTGTTATTTGCTTCATGGGAGTCAAGAAGCAATTGCAGTGGCAGCTGTAGGACTTACGAGCTCCAGTGTCTACAGTCAGCAGCCATATCTGTGGGCTTCTGATTCCTCTGAATGAGGCAGAGGCAGCCACTTCCCTTGAGGACACTTTGGTGGCAGTATCCTCCAGTGCTTCCAATTATTTCACTAATCTACAAATTTTCTGTTTTAAATTTTCCTTCTTATAAAATAATGTGGTGGTATCTGTTTCCTGTAAATGAGTCCTAGAACTATGCCTAGACAAGCTCTTTGGCTTGTATGTGGAACTAAAGGGAAGCAAATAGCCCAGGAACCTTCTGAAGTCTTGAGGGAAACTGTATTGCCAAAGAAACCACAAGCCTGATCACAAGTCTATAATTATTCAACTCCTAAAGTAATCCTAAGTCTTCAAATCTGATCTACCAATGAATGTGCAGCCCCCAAAGAACACACAAGGAATTTTCTTCTACACAGCAGAATCAGGTGCTACAAACTGCTAACACAGATGATTTTTGCACTTTCTAGCCAGTAGGATTCTTCCTCACTCTACTTTCCCTTTTCCCTCTAGTAGAACTTTTGAATACAAGACCATTATGAATAAAGACTTCATTTCTAAACTTCCCTTGCAGGTAGCTGTGGACTACGTGACAAAATCTAAAACAATGGAAAAAGAGCAGGAGTGGTGTCACAACTTCAGTGAATCCAAATGAACTGAACCTGGGTCAACTGGCATCAATATCTATGTTCCTAATACTCTGTGCTCAAACTTTTCGAAGCTTGAGAGACAAACCAGTGAACAACAAGGTCTCTGCTTTCATAGAACTCACATAATATTTACATGACCCGAGGAGAGAGTGACAACTGTAGGAAAGCACACAAATGAAGAAGACAATCTGGATAGTGAGAGATGCTTTGAAGATATAAAACATGGTGACATGATATTGGCTGCGGGTACTATGCTAGTTGGAGGATTTCTGAGGAGTACATTTGAGCTGAGACCTAAAATTTGAGAAGAGACCTACAAGACTTGGAGAAAAAAGTTTCAGGCTATGAAAACCTGAGGCAGGATAAACTTAGAACATTTGAAGGACAGGAAAAAAAAAATATAGCCAGCTTTTTTGGAGTAGTTGACAAGCAGGAAGAGACTTTAAGAAGTATGGCTTAGTAGGCAGGTGTCAGATCTTGTAGGGTTTGTCAACTGGTGATTGACTTGTATTTAATTGTTAAGGGAAAGGGACAGCAAGGAAAGTGATAGAAACTTATTTCAGTGAACAACAGGGCCATCTTGCCCATATCCTTACCAAGTCATACATGGGCATTTTGTTTTTCTTTCTTTTTGTAGTGCTGGGGAATCAAATCCAGGGCCTGGAACATGTTAGGCAAGCAATCTATCACTAAACTCCATTCCCAGCCCTTGCATGGGCATTTTCAATTACAGAAAACAATCACCACTGATAAACATGCATAGCTGTTAAAGACAGAATTTCCCAATTCTGTATATTGACTGTTCTAGATCCTGTGTTCTTTTGATTCAGAAGAAATATCCTAGCAACTTAATGATCCAGTGTGTCCCCTACCCTCTCTCCCTCACAGCCTCCTCCTGTGGCAAGTGTTGATTCTTAATCTCAATCCTGTCCTCCATGAAGAATCCAGTGGAGGGGTTGAGCCCTGTGTGAAATGTCCATGATGGAGAAACTAACAGTTTCTGGGAGTGATTTACAGAATTTACATCTCTTAAAACATAAATTGGAATCTTTTGAACTATGTAAAAACAAGAACACACCACATTTCAGTCTCACTGTTCTTGAACTTTCAGACATTTAAGATATTGGTGAGTCAGGTTGTTTTCCTCCCTCATTTCATACATCCACAGAGAACAAACTAGAGAGTTCCTAGGGAATGTTGCTTAAAGTGGCTCTTATTTTCTATGCAAACTAAAGGTATTATTCTTTATTTTTTCTTTAAGTTTCTCCTTCATTCTTTTCTTCATTTTATTACCATTAGTGTTCCAACATGAGTAAGATATGAAAAAAATCAATTAGGTTTGTTGGATTAATTCAACTTGAATGTTATTGAATGCTATCTAAAATTGGAGAGTAAAATCACTGTGAAAGATGCCTTTCCTTTGTGCCCCCCCAACTTCCAGCTTTTCCTCTGGGATAAAGGAATGGGATGAAGAAGTCATATCTGGACACTGCTATCCCTGTGATTCTCTAATTGTATGCCATTTCCTAAACAGGGCTCCTTGGATCTCTTTAGCCAACTCCCTTCCATTCATCTTTCTTTAATTGTATAGCAGGGCTTCTCAATCTGCAGCCTTTTCTCTGGTCTCTAACTGCTGCTTAACCCAAGGCGTATATGGCTCTGGAACACACAGTGCAGACAGGAGCAGATAAACTCCAGAGTGTATAGAATTTGAATGAAGTTTCAGCAGGGCAACATGGAAAGATGCTTGAAATCTAGAGCCTGCTGCTACTATCATAGTAAAGGAAAGAAGATGGAAAGCTTTGAGGATTGTTTTTCTGATAGGATCTTCAAGCCTGCATTACCCAGGAAGTCCCTTTTCTACTTGAGATAAGTGAGGAACCATTTTAGAAGCAGCATCTTGGGGACTACTCCCCAGGTGCCTTAAGAATGCTAAGATATTTTAGGAACATACAGTGTTTTTAGATTTGAATGTTAAGCTTGAAAAAAAATTCCTTTAGAAACAAATTTAAACTACTAATTACATGAGAATTCCGTTTTATCCACTTTCCTTTTTCTTGTAAAGCATATGATATGGAAATACCCTGGAGGTAGCAAAAAGTAACAATCTTTGTTTCTATTAGAATTCAAACCAATGTTTGTTGCTAACTATTATCTGATACTTCCTACTTAGTAAACTGTTAGCAGATAAATGTGTGCATATATTTCAAGGTTGACTCAAATCCTGAAGAGTTTGAGAACTGTAATAGGCCCACTATCTCATTAGGTACTGGTAATGATTTGACTGATACTTAGTTTATGGAATAGATGATTCTAAAATGTGAAAAAGCAGGAAGCAAGAAATTTTTAAATCAAATAACTTACCACATAGCTTGAGTTATTACATTAATGTTAGTCCACTAAATAACTTCCACAAGTGGCAATTTTTGATGAGCATTTCTCTGGGAAATGTAGCAACCATATGTTTTTGAACACTGTATAACATATATATGAACACAAGTTGATTTCCTTTTGGCTGTACACGACTGAGTCCCGAGAGCATAATGGCCAATGTGTTTCTTTGCATAATGCTCTACAGTGTATGCAGAACATTACTCTACAAAGCTCTGAGATGGGGTATGAAGTGCTCAGTGGAAATGGCGATATAAAACATCCTGACAGCACTAAATCTCCCAACTACTCTCTAGTTACTTTGAGACCCCCACATTTAAGGGTCTGCTAGTTCCTGGGTATGAAGAAAGAATTTTTAATGGGTCCAAATGTAGGTGTTTACAAGGGGGAATTGTTGCTTTTTATTAGGAGCTGCCTTATGTTCAATAGTTGTATTTACTTTGTCAAGCTAGCCAGAATTAGAAAATCCCCATTGCTAGGCAGCCTAGAGCGTCTGCGAAGTATTTCTGGGCATTCAGAACTGAAGCATGTGCTGCCCAAAGGCAGGTTTCATTACAGTGTGTTATTTAGTCCTCTTTCGTCCCTCCCTACCCCCACACCCCTAGATAGGAGCACTTCTATAACAGGAAATCTTAGTTACTTTATGCTGAAACATATTTACATGACTGAAACACGACAATTAACACATTTGTAAAGCTTGAGGGATAGGCACACTTTAATGGTTTTTTGAAGCAGGCTGATTTCCTGGCGCTTTTAATCTTATTTTATTTTGTTCTGCATGCATGAACAAGTTCTTCTTTACTATAGGTATTTGACAAAGTCTACCTGGTATGAATTTGAATGAAAAGAAAATAATACAAAAATTAATTTTATGTTTTATCTTTGCCAAGCCATTCCTAATTTCTTTCATCAGTTTAATGTATGCTGAGGGTTATGCTATTATTTTTGTCAGTTCGTGTTAGCTTTTATGCAAAGACAAGAATTAAGTTTTTGGTTTGACAAAATAAAATGTGGCTTTCTCTATACTGATTGGGTTAAAACTTTCATAATGAATTGAAAAGGATCAATTACAACGACGATTTTTTTCATTCTTCATGGACAGATACTCTACTAGGTGGTATGCATTTGATATGCTCTAAACTTTTTAAAACCAAATTGATATTAAGTATGTAACTTTGTGGGTGTGTATATGTGTGTGTGCATATATATGTATATATAAAAATACATAACATGACAATGTCATCATGAATATTTTATGACCTTTTATGTCTGTATGTTAATTAATTGCTAAAATCTTGGTAAAACTTAGAAAGCAAAAAATTGGTATAAGAGCACTCTAAAATGAAATGAAAATTTCCATATTTATCCAAGATTTCTGAAAGCATGCTAACCCTGGAAACGCCTGCCCCAACTTTCTCTTAAAAGTTATGGCAGATTTACAAATTACACTGGTTTCACAGTTACCCAGTACATCCATCTCCCCCTTC